CGAAATGGAAGTAAGCTCAACAATTATGAAACAAGAGATTCCTCGAAACCCAACTTTTCTTCGTATCTATTCACCTACCATTCCTTCATCACATGAGCACAGATAGTATATCTGATGTACTGGAGGATTGCTGGGCTCGAAAGACCAGAATCAACCTTCAACTTCCGGTGCGATGGACAAAATCTTGGTGCTAGCTGGTCAAAGGGTGTACTAAATTAGATAACCATTCAAAAGAGTCGACTTTAATGCAGTTTTACTCAACGCATTCGAACACGTTATCATAATTCAACAAGGAGGGGAAGAGGACTCGATAAAAGTGTTGAAATTGCCGGAATACAGGCTGTGGTCTGCGGCTCGAAGTGATCAAGTCGCAGGCCTCCTGCTTGGCGTCGCAGAGTCGCCGTGTCGACCGGGAACCTGATGCCGCGACGGGTCTCACGGTCACTAGCGGCCCCGTCCGGCATTGCAGAAGTCCATGTCTCGCTTCAACTGACATTCTGCGCAGAGCCGGCAGAACAAGGTTATGCAGCAGTCGTTCATGATCGAGCCCTACATGACGCAATTGCCAGAGATGATAAAGAATAACAAGAAAAAGGGATAAAGAAGAGTGAAAGCAACGGCGTAGACGACCTGTCGGCAAGGCGTGGTACAGATTGATGAGATGTATTCACTCTATTTAGTTTGAGGAGAAATAGGACTAACAGTAGAATTCTCCCACAATCCCATGAGTAGGCCTCATGTTTGCATCACATTTTATATGGCCTTGTATCACAAAATGTTATTTCATACAGAATAGTCTTGGGAGCACTTTCGGTCTCGCTTAAACCGAATTCGTCAGTACACAAAACGGGACTCAAACCTCGTCTGTGATAGTGCGGCGTATAGTTTAGAAGAGTTAACAACTGCGCCAGACTGCCACTATAGCCAGTGGGTCAGAGGGCAGAGGCGAATTTCAAGGGAGCCTAAGTCGTTGTTATATCACACTTTTGTCGTCAGATTGCCAACGAAGCAATGCCGGATTTGTAGTGCCATCGAACAAATTAATTATTTTCCAATTATCAGTAGGTTTTCGAGTCCGCCAGTAGGCATACTCAGTTGATTGTGGGAGAATTAAAATACCCGTACTTAATCACCTCACATGAAATAGGGTAAGTAGATCTGAGAAAGCTAGTCTGTAAACCAAATTATCAACATTAAAAGGCTAGCTCAAATAATAGTTCTTAGTTCAGAATTTTCCCAAAAATTCAAGAGTATAGCTGATAGTTTACATGACAAGACACATGATAAGAAATTAATAAATTTGGGTATAATATTTGGCCCAAGGAAACGACCCACATCTAAGGAGTTGAAGTGTAAGTGGTGGATATGTCCAAAACTTCATTTGAAATTCCTACTGAGAGGGTCCTAGCAAAAGGCTGAAACATTGCTGTTCCAAATAGTAAGGACTTCAGAGATCGTATTTTGGTAGAATTGGAAAGTTGAACGGTTAGTTTCCCAGAGGATGCTGGGAGTGACATTGAATTACAAGTTGTCGCTTTAGTTGATGGTCATGTAGCAGCATCTTATATGAATAGGACATATTTGATACTATTAAAAGGAAGCTCAAGGCGAGCAAGCAATACGTATTAAGGGCAGACAAAGGAGGAGCACTAGTAGGTGTGGCTAAGACTGATTATGTAGAGAAAGTGTTAGAGGCAGTAGATGATGATACAACTTATAAGAACATAAGAAAGCTATTCTGCAACAATGCGTAAACAGTGAAGAGCTGGAAAAGTGGGACACGAATGCACTTCTTCAGCGAGCTGATAGAAACCAAAAATTCAAAAGCATGATACCAAACTTCGGATTATTGTAAATAAAATAGGAAGCGGGATGCATAAAAAATTAAGATTTATATGTACTCAATGAAAGAAAATCTCCAAAACTTGCAGGATTTCAGTAAACAATTCATACCACTTTGTTGAGTAAATTGATTATGAAACGATAGAAAGTGGAGATTTGTCGGTAAGTTTCGATATTGTGTCTATGCACACTAACATTCCGATAAACGAGCCAATGAAGGCGTTAAAATGAAATCTCGATCAACACTCTGAAATAATGACAGTTAAAAAGTCAGGAGAACTTTCAATAATTAGATTAGTCAACTTGGCAATGTATAACACATATTTTACCTTCAATAGTAAGTTGTATGAGCAGATACGGGGTTCGGCTATGGGATATTGTTTAGCCCCGATTCAGCTGATAAATGCAGGACCCAATTAGAAGTTTACGTGTGTCAAGAGACTTACTCCGAGTTCCAAAGTTATTAGTTCGCTGTATGGACGATTACTTTGCTGTTTGGAAAAACGGCAAAAATAGAGGTTACTAGACCTTGTTTTCGCAACTTGGTTATGTTGGTAGGACGACTTAGAAGAACGCACCTAGTCCGGCGTCCATTGTCTGCATGATCATTTTCAAAGTTGAACTGTGGACGTGGTACATTTCTAAACGTTTCGCCGGCATCGTAGTCGGCATCATCAGTGAGTACGCT